ATATAATTTGTTAATTTTTATAAATTATTTTTTTAATTTTTCTAAATTATAATTTGCTGATAAATTATATATAAAAAATATTATTTTATAGAAGAACTTTTGCTTAAGTAGAGTTAGTGTAATATTTTTTTATTTATTTTGCTTAAGCAGAGTTAGTGTAATATTATTTATTTATTTATTAGTTATTTATTTTATTTTACTTTTTTACATGACTTGACCTTTGTCAAAAATTTGCCAAAATAGAAAATACTAGCACAATTGTTGTAAATTATAAGTTACAAAAGAACATAAAGTATTTGTTTACTATCAAAAATCTGCAGGAACAGATATTAAAAAAAAGAAAAAAATTAATTATTATAATACAAATAAATTTAAATTGTAATTAATACTGATTATTGAATTGTAATAAAGATAAAAAAAAAATTTATTTACAATATTTTTTTTATTTATTTATTTATTTTTATTTATTTTAAAATAAAAAAATATTATTTCTTATTTATAATTATATTTTACAACTATGTATTTAATAAAACTTTTATCACTCTTTCTATTTGTAAATCTATACTATTATTTAAAGAAAGTCCTTTAACACTAATATTAGTACTATCACAAGTTTCATGAGCTTTAGAACTACTCTTATTTATATTCTTATCTATCTCTATTTTACTAGATAACTTTAATATTTTCTAAAAGGTCTTGCAATTATGTTTAATTCTGTTTACAAGATAATAAACACAATAGTGAATTGACTCTCTAAATTGAATAAAAAATATTTATAATAATAAGTGTGTTTACAAGTTAAAATACAACCTATCTTACTTGAATCTATACAACCTTTCAAATTACAGTATTTGTCTTTCTGAGAAAGATATACTATATTCTAAACTATTGATAATATCTTGATATCAATTTTAGCTTCTAGTATTAGAAGTTCATATAATTCAGTTTTTGAACTTTTATTGAGTACAACTTTTAATTAGCTAATTTTATATATACATCTGTAAAAAGTTTTAATAAGAAAAGTGCAGTATTTTTTTAAAATAGTCTAGCTGTTTAGCTAAATATCTAATATTATAGTTCTCAAAAAATGTGTTAATAAATATATTGCTACTATGCATTTAATTAATTGTTTATACTTCTTAAATAATCTGTTCTGCTGTGTTTACTTCTTGTATTTGCTATCAAAGAGAACTGTAAAAATTTTCTATATAATAATTATTAAAAATGTAGAGAAAATCTGAAAAAAGATATGATTAGTATTAGATCAGAAAAAAATATTACTCAAAAATGCTATTGGTAATTTGTTATAATGTTAGTACTGATATTAATAAAAAATAGCCCAAACACAAAATATTGCTTCTTTGTACACTATCCAATTTCTACTATAAAATATAATAGAATAAAAATTCAAAACCAATAGGATGATGTTATCTAGTAGGTTAATAAAATATCTTGCTTTCAAATCTTTAAACTATTCAAATTTACAAAAAATTTGTAAATGAACTTATGACCAACTTTGTAATGCTAATTCTAAAGGTAAATTAATTTTATAAGGTTTTGGCATTTTTACCAAAACCTTATTTTCTCTAAATATTTTATGAAAAAGTTTATCAAAAACAAATAATTTAATAAAAACACAGTTTCTTGACTGTTTAAAAATACATACAAAGACCCAATCATTGATACAATATACAAAATTTGTTTTAGTATTCTAGAAGAGTCTTTTAACTTAATGCAACTAGTAATTGTATGCTGTATATTAAGTTGTCTAGGATAGTCTATAGATGCTACTAACTCCTACATTTCTATATAAGTCTTTATCTCAAAAATATCTATCAAGTATTTAACTGCCTTTACATAATTATTAGTTGATTTAAGAGATCTTTTTATCAGATCAACTAGCTTCATATTTATTCTACTTCAATCAGTATGATATTGTTTAATTCTGTTATCATAGCTATAGATTAAAAAATATTTAACTTGTTTATTATAGGTTTTTGGTTCAAATACCAAATTGTTAAAAGCTTGTTTATGCTATAAATAAAAAAAAGTAGGTATAAGCATTTGATATAATAATAGTTGCATCAATATTCTCTTTATTATAAATAATTTTTTATAATTATTAGGATTGTAAAACAGAATAGGTATTACTTCTAGCAGAGCTTTCAAAAATATTATAACAAAATAACTAATACCATGAGTATCTATTACATTATAATAGCAGTATTTGTAAATATTGTGAAAGTTATTTATATTAAGAATGACTAAATTTCTATACTATTATAAAAAAAAAATTTAAATAATTAATTATAACAAAAACTTGTAAAAATCACTATATAATTATATTGTCAGTTAAAAAATTTTTAACTGTTGCTATATGTTTTTCAGAGTGCTAAGCTTTTTGTCTTGCAATAGTTATATATCTTACTGACAAACCTATACTAGCTAGTGTCTCTATTGCTAATAATGAAGTTTTAGATACATCAAGTAAGAATCCAACTTTACTTTAATCTTATTAATAAACTGTTATTAAGTCCTGCTAAAAAATAATAAAATAAAACTAATCTTTTCTTATTTTTTTCATAAGTCATACTACTCTTATTTTGTGAGTTAGTTCTAGCTACTAATTAATTAAAAAAAAATTTTAATAACAGTTTAGCCTTCTCAAGCATTTTTTGAATTCTTCTAGATCTAAAATAGGCTTTTTGTTATATACTCATTGTCTTGTATACAATACCCCTGCTATTAGTTTAATCTTTTTACTAAGAGAAATTAATTTTATAAAAAAAATATATATATTGATCATATAAGAAAATTTATTATATAATAGTATGCCTCCCTTTAAAAATTTTTTTTATAATATAACTACAAACAAAATTTATTTGCTTACTAAGCTTCACTTCATCAAGCTCTGCACATACTTCGTTATACATAATCTTCAATTTTTGAAATTGGACTTTAGAATAAATAATATCACTATACAAAACATATAACCTACCTTTAAATTGCTTTAAATTTTCTTTTAAAGCCCTCTTCTTTGCCTGTAGATAATTTAATAAATTAATATATTCAAGATCTTTATCAGTTTTGTATAAGCAGTAATTGTATATTTTTATTCCTAGTGGTAAGTTAAAAAATTTAATAAGTTGTTTTAAAGTTTTCTTTAACTTCTTTTCTTCTTTGCTATAGATCTAAATAAATTGTGCTTGGGATAAGAACAAGTATTAGCTAATTAATTTTTTTAGATTTACTATTAACTTATTTTAGTGGTTTTGACATAATTCTTTGCCAGCTAAGTTTAGATGTTGGCTTAAACTTGGTACTATAACTTGATTTAAAACAAAAGTTGTGCCAAACTTTTTATAATAACAGACAATATTGTTTTGACCCTCTAAATCACAATACTGAGCCTTCTTTTTTTCTTTTTTTTAATTGAAAAAGGAGTTTTTTCATTGTAGAGTTTTTGTGTGGCTATTTTGTATCTATTTCTGCTTTAATTAATTGCCTGTTATAACAAACTAAAAAAAAACTCTTCTTAGCTAACTTCTGAATTATTTCATGGATTACCAAATTATTTTGACAGCTTATAGAGCAGTGCGTATGCTATATAAATTTTTTATTGCAAACTCTGCAAATTTATTTCTGTGGCTATGAATCCTATTTTTGTACTACCAATATGTAAACATATTGTGTAACATTTTGATCATCCATCCAATCAGATTTTAAGTTTCTATACTTCTTAGAGTATAAATAACACGCTAGCAAAAAAAAAAAATTATAGTTAAATTATAGGAGTTAGTTTAAATTGATTAAAATAACAAGTAAAAAATTCATAATTTTCTTCATTTTTACATATAAGCAAACTACTTTTTCCTATTTGATCCATAACGATCCGAAAGTTTAAATGATGCTTCAGAACTTGAAGAACTTACTTGTAAAAAAATATTCACTAGTTATACGGACAACTGGGAGGTTACAATATTACCTAAAAAAAGAATTTTCGTACAACTTCATATGACAAATATTATTAAGGATGATCTACCAACCAATCAAATTTAATCTGGTGATTTGGATCAACAACCAATTAAAACAAACTTCTATCTTGCTGCCTGAAAAATAAGCTTAAAATATGAGATAGGTTAGTCATGGCAAAAAAATGTCGAGATAACGTCACTTCCGACCTCTTTGTCATAGTCCGATAAATCATATGTCGCACAGTAATTAATAAAATGACGTTAATACATTGATAGTTTTGTAAAGCATACGATTTATCGGACTACAACAAAGAGGTCGGAAGTGATGTAATCTCGACATTTTTTTGCCATAACTAACCCATCTAAAATATGTAATATGGTATATTTAAGGGAGAACATTATTTTGATACGTGCATGGGTGTTATTTTAAGCCAAAAAAAACAGTTTTCAAAAAAATGGGAGTTTCGAAATAACGCCCATGTGCGTTATTACGCGCAAATTCTATATTATTATTAAATATCAATATTATTAAAAGAACTAGTTTAAATAAACAAACTCTAAAATTATAATTTTATCAATAATAAAATAAAGATCACTTCGAGATGTTTATTTAAAAAAATTAATCAAATACTTTAATTATAGATATTTTTCAATTGATAGCATCTTCAATTAAATAATGTAGCTTAATACGAAAGAAATAAAATAAGATATTAAAAAAAAAAAAAAAACAATAGGCTTCATTACATATCAAAGTTATAAGCTGGTTTTTATTGCTTTTATTTAAACTATAAATAAAAATTCAAATATATTACAAGAATTCTAAATAAAATTTTCAAGCTGTAATTAAACTGTATATAGAACTACGTATATAGTATGGTAGTTTAATATAGTTTTGATTTTCACGACATACTGAATTATTAATATTGGAGGGCTACACTAAAATAATTTTAAATTTTCATTATTGTCAATTAATTTTTCTTGTATTGAAATTTTGAAATGGCATAGGAATCCCATAAAATTGGATCATCATTTTTCATTTGAATGTTCAGGCAAATTATCTAGCTTTAAAATTTCGAAAAGGTGTGAGGAATCCCTCAAAGTATCTGACATTAAAATTTCGGAAATCTTTGAGGAATCCCAGGAATCCTGTAAAATTTGAGTATTATCATCATTATCATATGAATGTTCGTGTTCAATTATTTTTTTGTCAGCATTATGAAACTCTTTTTTTGCATCGTTAATTTTTTCAGATTTCATACTTTCGCACCATTGATTAATTTTTAAACGGATATCTTTAGCAGTGGGTCTATTTTGAGGATTTAAATCCATGCATTGTTTGGCTAATTCAATATAACAGTTTGGAGTTCCATCAGCAAATTTTGGTCGCATCCCTTCAAGATAAATTTTTAATGCAAGTTCAGACTCAGAACAAGATTTGTAATTATCGAAAGCTCTTTGACCATTTGACATTTCTACCATAATAATACCAAAACTATATACATCAGATTTTTGCGTGTATTTATCTTCATGCTTTTCAACTAATACTTGTGGGTCTAAATAAGGTATTAAACCATAAATTTTATTTTCCGATATTGCTACGTCATCAATAAATCTTGTCATTCCCAAATCTCCAATTTTAGTCAATTCTTGATCTCCATTTTTGCAAATTAGAATATTTTTTGAATGCAAATCACGATGTATTAATTTATGATCATGAATCCGTTCCAATCTATGTAAAATTAAATAATGTTAACTAATGTTATCTGTTAAATTGGTAAAGTAAAATTACTTAATATATACCCTATTATAATTGATTGTAATCGTTCGAGTCTTTTTTGCCATGAAATATCTTTATAACTTTTTGACAAACTATCAAACAAGTTACCACCTTCTGCATACTCCATTACTATATAAATTTTATTCGATTCAAATTGTTTCATAAGGCCGTAATAATCTAAAATGTAATCATCCGAACGTGTGATTTCAAATGGAATTACCTATTTATTTGTAGAAAAAAAAACAAATAAATAAATAGAAAAGGACAAAATGAATAATTTGAAAGATAAATGTACTTACCTCATTAATAATATTCTTAGAAAAACCTTTTGAAGTTCTTAAATATTTGAGAGCTACCTTTTTTTCCTTTCCTAAATTATTCACCCAGGTTGCTTGAAAAATTTCTCCAAACCCACCTCCATTCAAAGGCTTAATATTATGAATTTCATTAAAAGGTATGAATTGTATATTACCCATAGATTCAATATGACCGTCTATGTTTCTTTTAACTAATGCACAATTTAATTTAGCATCGCCAAAATCGGGCTTTACATCTAGTGATTTTTTAAAGTCTAAATATGCATCATCATATTTACCCTTCAATTTATTTATAGTTCCCCGAGTATGTAATGCATGAGGACAATTTGGATTTATTTTCAATAATACGTTAGCGTCTGAATATGCCTTATCAATTTCACCTAATTGTCTATAGCATAACATGCGTATCTGTAATGCTTCTACGTCGTTTGGCTTTAATTCTAATGATTTATTTATATCTAAAAGTGCCTCAATATATTTGTCAAGAATAATATAAATTTTTGAACGGGAATACAACGCTAAAAAATTTTTTGGATCCAATACCAATAAATCATTATAATCTGAAAGTGCCTCTTTAAGTCTATCCATTTCATAGTATATTGCTGCACGATTAATTAGTTTCCAAGAATCCCAAGAAGCATTTTTTGGTGTTAATTCCTGACATCTATAAAAATCTGATTGCGCCTTGCTAACTTCTTTCAGCATTATGTAAGTCTCTACACGATCAGCTAATGCATAAAAATTATCCGGTTCTAATTCTAATGATTTGTTAAAATCAGAAAGTGCTTTTTCATAATTATCTAACCGTTTATAAGCTTCTCCGCGGCGTATTAATGCATCTACATTATTTGGATCTACATTCAGTAATTTATTGAAATCCTCTATTGCATAATCATATTTATGTATTAATACGTAAATTGCTCCACGTTCAATTAATGCAATTAAATTGTCCGGTTCAATCTCTAAAGATTTGTTAAAATCTAACATTGCCTCATCATACTTTCTCAATGATTTATAAATTTCTGCACATCTGATTAATGCTTCTAAATTTTCTGGCATAATTTCTAAGAATTTGTTAAAGTCTGAGAGTGCTTCATCATACTTATCCAATTTGAAATAGGCATTTCCACGATTAAGCAATGTGAACTTATTAAAATGTTTTACTTTAAGAGATATATTGAGATCAAAAAGTGCTTCAGCATATTTAATCAAATTTATATAAGTTAGTCCACGATATACTAATGCATCAGCATTATCCGGTTTTATTTTCAGTGACTTATTTAGATTTAAAAGAGCTTCTTCATATTCACCTAAGTTTAAATAGGTTGCTCCACGGTATGTTAATGCATAGGCGTTATCGGGGGTTTTTTTAGTATTCTATTAAAATCCGAAAGCGCTGCATTATAATTACCTAAAATAGCATATAATTTACCACGAAATTTTAATGCAAAAGTATTATGAGGATTTATTTCCAACAATCTATTTAATTCAATCATTGATTCGTTACATTTGCCCATATATGCATAGGTTACGGCACGGTAAATTAACATATTAGTGACATCCGGCTTTATTTCCAGTAATTTATTGAAATCTATAATTGCTTTAATATATTCATCTATCTCTATATAACTTATCCCACGACTGGTTAATATATCGGTGTTATCCGGCTCTATTTCTAATAATATATTAAAATCTGAAATTGCTTCGACATATTTATCCATTTCCATATAAACTGTTCCACGACTGGTCAACATATCAATATCATCCGGCTTTAATTCTAGTAGTTTATTAAAATCTAAAAGTGCTTCCTTATATTTTTTCAATGATACATAAGTTTTTCCGCGATTTCTTAATGCCTGATCATTATTCGGTTCAATTTCAAGTGATCTATTAAAATCTAAAAGTGCCTCATCATATTTACCTATCAAGTTATAACTAATCCCACGATTTATTAATGTAAAAACGTTGTCTATGAAAGTTTCAGACGCCAGATGATCATATCCGATTGCCTTTGATCTTTTTATATCTGAAAGTCCTTTATTAAATTTACCTATTTTTACATAAGTTATTCCACGATTATGTAGTGTGATAGCATTGTCAGGTTCAATCTCAAGTGATCTGTTGAAATCTAAAAGCGCTTTATCAAATTCACCTAACAGTCTATATGTTGATCCACGATTATTTAACCATTTTACACAGTTTGGTTCAATTTCTAGAGATTTGTTAAAGTCTGAAATTGCATTATTATATTTTTTCAAAATCGAATATACTGCTCCACGATAACCTAACGTCCAGGAATCACAAGGTTCGATTTTCAATGACCTGTTAAAATCTGAAATCGCACTATCATATTTATTTAACGAAGAATATGACATCCCACGCACTTTTAGTACAAGAGCATCGTTTGGACTGATTTCTAATGCTCGGCTTAAATTTAAAATCGCTTCATTATATTTCCCTAAATAATAATAAGCTTCCCCACGATATCTTAATGCAGAAATATTCAAATCTTTATATTTTATTCCGTGATTGTTAAGTGCAGTAGAGTTAACTTCAAAAAACTTATTAAAATCAGAAAGTGCTTCATTGTATTTTTCTAGCGATGAATAAGTTATTCCACGATTAATTAATGTCCAAGTATTATCTGGTTCAATTTCTAATGATTTATTGAAATAAGTAAGCGCTTTCTGATTTTCATTCAACCGATGATAAATTATTGCTCGGGTACTTAATGCAGTAGAATTTTTAGGTTTTATTTTTAATGAATTATTGAGATCTGAAATTGCTTCATGATAATTACCCAAAAACATATAAGTTTCTCCTCGATTTGTTAATACACAATCATTATTCGATTCAATTTCCAGCGATCTATTAAAATATGAAAGTGCTTTATGATAGTTGCCTGAATTTTTATAAAATTCTCCAAGATTATTTAATGCTTCAGTATATATCTTCCCACGGTTCCGTCTATTAGGATATAAAAGTACCTTATCGTATTCAACACAAATTTTTCGATATAATTTTAATGTCGAGGTATTATTTGGATGGAGTTTTAATGATTTATTAAGGTCCAAAATTGCTTCATTGTATTTGTTCAACATTTTATAGGTTATGCCCCTATTCTTTAAAGCAAAAGCGTTATCTGGATTAAGTTCTAAGGATCTATTAAGATCTGAAAGCGCTTCATTATATTTTTTCAATATTATATATGTTACACCTCGATTTCTTAATGAAAAGGCATCATTTGAGTTAATTTTCAGTGCTCTATTAAAATCTGAAAGCGCCTTCTTATATTTTTTCAATAGCCTATAAGTTTTTCCACGGCTTCTTAACGCCCAAGCATTATCCGGTTCTATTTCCAATGACTTGTTGAAAGCGCTTCATCATATTTACCTAATGCTCTGAGTGTTGATCCACGTCCACGTAAAATAAATGCATTATCAGGCTCAAGCTTTATTGCCTCATTAAAATCCGTAAATGCTTCACAAAATTTATGTAGACAATAGTAAGTAATCCCGCGTTCTGCTAAAGCGCTATTATTTGGTTTTATTTCCAAATATTGGTAAAAATCTAAAATTGCATCATTATATTTACCCAATATTCTAGAAATTTTTCCATAAATCCTTAATGCATAATCATTGTCTGGTTCTATTTTTAGTGATTTCTTGATGTCTGTAAGTGCATCATCGTATTTACCTAATTTTTTATAAATTTCTCCACGAATTATAAATGTATATGAATCTGGCTTTATTTCTAGTGATTGACTGAGATCATTAATCGCATCTTCATATTTTCCCAATTTTTTATAAGTTTCTCCACGAATTCTTAATATATATGCATTTCTTGGTTCTATTTTAAGCAAATTATTAAAATCAACAATTGCCTCTTCAAATTTATCCAATATGCTATAAATTTCACCACGAATACTCAATGTATATGTATGGTTTGGTTCCATCTCAAGTGATTTATTGAGATCTATAAGTGCTTCTTCATATTTATTCATTTTATAATAAATTTTGCCACGAGTCACTAATTTAACCATATCAAATCTTTCAGTTTCTGTTTTTCCAGGTAATATTATTTTAACTTCATATGTATTGTCTGGTTCTATTGTCAGTGATCTGTTAATATCTACAAGCGCTTCTTCATATTTATCTAATTCACAATAAGTTTCCCCACGACATAATAATGCCATTGCATCGTTTGGTTTTATTTCCAGTGACCTATTAAGATCTAAGATTGCTTCTTCATACTTATTTAACCTTAAATAAAGTATCCCTCGACTAATAAGTGAGGGAAAATGGTCAGGCTCCATTTTCAGTTGTTTATTCAAATTGTCAAGTGCTTCATTTAAACATCCATTTTGCATAAGAATTAGTGCAATTTCATATGGTTCCTTAATAGTATTTAGATCGAATTTTATAGGGACAAATACTTGAGTGTCTCCATATATTTTAAATATTTCAGACGAATATGATACCATTTTTTTTTTTTAATGTGCAAGATTATATTAACTTATGAAAACAAGCTATTTTTTTTTTTTTGGATCTTTTACTATATTTGATGTGCAAGCATAGAATTTTCTGACAATAATAAAATTCTCGATAATTTTTTTTAATTCACATATGAAGTACATCAGTTGATTTTATAGTAGAAATTTTCGTTCGCAATAGTGTGACAATTGGGTAAATTGGGCATATAAATTTTGCGCGAATTAGATATTTGGATTCAGATCAAATCATTAAGACATATAATCGTTACCATCCTTGGTCAACAAAATCTTAAACTTATTTACAATAAACCTTATTGAAAATATACTTGATAGAACAAAAATATAAATTTTGTACAATCGGAGAGTTTCAGAATTAAATTATTTTGGAAATAAGTGAGTCATATGGGGCGCGATTATTTAAAACACGGCTTATGGTATTTTTTTGCAAATTTGAGATAGCCATACTACTGAATAAAGCAGGCATTCGACTATGTAATTTACCATTTGTAGTATCGCGTTTACATATAAAATTTTGCCAATTCCTAGTTTTCTGAATGTCGTATGAATGTAATTAGAAGCAATCTAAAATTAGATTTTAGAAATACGCTTGTCGATCCTCGCTGTAGAGTAGAGGTGATATACTTGATAGAACAAAAATATAAATTAT